GAGAGAGAGAGAGAGAGAGAGAGAGAGAGAGAGAGAGAGGCATACACACGCACAAACTGACAAAATTCCTTCACAAAGCACCGTCCCCTCCCCCGACAGTGAATCACTCTTAAATACACAGGGACCGTTATTAGCACAAATATAAACACAGAGCTACAGCGCTGGCTAAGCTATACACCATCCACAGGGCGGATGCTGTCCCAAACACAGTGACATAAACGCCCTTGGGGCTTACTGGTAAACACATGGGGGCTGACAATGAGGCATAGCCCCCCCCCCACACACACACAGACACACACTCACACAGACACACACACACCAGTCAGCCAATGTGGAACTCATAAACACAGTCCGACCTGCACACATCCACAGTAAACACCTGGCCAAACAGTATACATAGACGTTAATACTGACAAACAAACCTCAGCAGACTGGGTCCTGAGTACCAAACAGCACACAGTCAAGTGTTGACAAGGGCAGACAAATAAATACAAACTAGGAAGCAATAAAAAGTTAGTCTTCACTCCCCCACATCATACCCTCCCCCCAGAAAGGGGGTGAGGAGCACCCCACCTTTATCCGTGCGGAAGCGCAGACACAGACAGATGGGAAAACAGAGTTATTGCGTAGCCACAACGGCCCTCTGCAAGACAGGGACATTGCCACATATTGCGTGGGTAATAGGTGTCACCAAGAGTCTGGGGGAGTCATTAAAGAGAAGCCCCAGAGAGAGCAGAAGCGTGTTAATACTCTGCGGCGAATTCCAGCTTGTATCTTTGTCTCTCGCTCTCTGGTACACCCTGAGACACAGAATTTCAAGCTGACAGTAATACTTTTTCTTTTGACAGTCAGTAAGAAACACACAGGCACCTCCCCTCTCCCTTTGGAGACAGGGTCTTGTGAAGCCCGGGCTGGCCTCAAACTTGTAATCCTCCTTGAGTGCTAGAATTACAGGCACAAACTGCCATGTGTGACGTCTTGATTCTGCAAGGGAAGAGGACCTCACACGGGGACATACAGCCACAGGTGCACCTGTGAGCCAGTGTTGTCATCTTAATATACAAAGTAATCAAGCTAGCTATGCAGTGTCAGCCGCACTGGTCTCAACACAGAGGGAAAACAGAAGTCAAGGTTGACACCTACAGAGACACTCAGAAAGCCGCAGAAACTGGCCTGCAGTAAGACATACTCTCCTACAAAGCAGTTGTTGCTGATGGATAAGCAGATTTGGGAAGACAAGGCTATATGTGTAGATCCCCCCCCCCACTTTCCAAGCAGACATGTTCGGAGTTCCTCACCTCTTTGCAGGTGTTTCTGTTCCGGTTACAACACACATGAGACCCTTTGGCACTTGGGTGCCCCATTTCTCCCCTCCCCCTCCTTGTCCAGCCAGGCTGACTCAGGCCCCATTCCTAGTCCTA